ATAAATAATAATAATAATAATTATAAGCTGAACTCAGGTGACACAGTGTTCAATAAACATGGATGGATTTTATAAAAAATAAAAAAAATTAAAGTATTTTAAATATGTCTAGAAAATAGTGGTGCCTTGACTTACAAACGCCTTGAGCTATGAACATTTTGACTTACAAACAGCTTCGTTCGCGAAGTTTTGCTTTGACTTGTGAACAGAGCTTTGAACCAAAAAAAGGCAGGGGAAAAGGGTGGGAAATTCAAACTGTTGGTGGTGAAGAGACTACAGCTTTGTACAGTGGACCCTCGACTTACAGACGGCTTGACTTACAGACTTTTCGAGTTATAGACTTCTCTGGCCACATACTTTAGATTCGACTTGCAGCCGGAGAATCGACTTACAGACCAGAAGAAAACCAAAATGGAACAAAAATAGAATAAAAACGGCCAGTTATGGGATTAATCGGTTTTGAACAGATCTGTGACGTACGAAAAAAAAAAGGCAGGGGAAAATGAGGAGAAATTCAAACCGTTGGTGGTGAAGAGGCTACTTCTTTGTAGCTCTTTCACCCCAACGGTTCGGGAAAGGGATGCAGTGGTGGCAGGGGTGGCCCAACGTCAGGAGGCTTGAGCCTGGCCGCGAGGCCATTTGAATTTCCCGGGCTCTTGCCTCGCAGCGTGGGGTCTGTCCCCACTGTTCGCTTCCTGGCTGGGAAGCGAGCAGCGGAGATGGACCCCGACAGGGAGCAAGAGCCTGGCTGAGAGGCGAGAACCCATCCCGGCCGGGCAGCAGTGGCAGAGCCTGAGCTGGATAGCAGCGGCTGGAGCCCAGGCCAGGCAGTGGAGCCCGGGCCGGGCAGCTCCAGAGGTTGCTGCAGCAGTGGAAGCCCGGGAGGCTTCGGACTGGTAAGGTCCTTTTCCTTTTTAAAAAACTGTTCTAGGTGGGTTTTGGAGGATGGGTTTGGACTGGGGGGGTTATATTTCTGTGCTGTGTTATTTTGTTTTTGAATTTGCATTTGTGTTGTTTTTGCAGTCCCAGCGTGGGACTTGCTCTGTTTATTTTTATTTTTTTGAAATGCTGGAATGGATTAATCCCGTCCCCATGCATTTCAATGGGAAATGGTGCTTTGACTTACGAACATTTTGACTTACGAACACCATTCCGTTACAGATGAAGTTCATAAATCAAGGCATCACTGTACAGCACTACTACCTATACATCGCACGTCCTTATTGGCAGTTTGGGGGTGTTGTAGCTGATGTAGGTTTAGGAAAAACTTGCATCACAGTTCATTATTAAAGACTCATGTTTTAGAGGCCATTGATTTGTAAGCTGTATGTAATTTGATGGCACATAACAATAGTGCCAGGCTACTGAAGTTTATAGGTACATCTGAGTTTAAGGTTGATCTTGAACCAAACAGTCCCTGCACAAGATTGCACCAAAGATCCACCCACTCATATAACCGTTTCTGACTCCCCTGTAGCCAAAATCCTGCACTCAAGTCTCATACTGAAACCCTACAGGCTAACAAATCATTTTGAAACAGAAGGGAAAACCTATTTCCACAGAAAGTTTTTGCAGCATTCTTTATTGATCGCAGGCTTGACTACTGACTTACGAACATTTTGACTTACGAACACCATTCCGTTACAGATGAAGTTCATAAATCAAGGCATCACTGTACAGCACTACTACCTATACATCGCACGTCCTTATTGGCAGTTTGGGGGTGTTGTAGCTGATGTAGGTTTAGGAAAAACTTGCATCACAGTTCATTATTAAAGACTCATGTTTTAGAGGCCATTGATTTGTAAGCTGTATGTAATTTGATGGCACATAACAATAGTGCCAGGCTACTGAAGTTTATAGGTACATCTGAGTTTAAGGTTGATCTTGAACCAAACAGTCCCTGCACAAGATTGCACCAAAGATCCACCCACTCATATAACCGTTTCTGACTCCCCTGTAGCCAAAATCCTGCACTCAAGTCTCATACTGAAACCCTACAGGCTAACAAATCATTTTGAAACAGAAGGGAAAACCTATTTCCACAGAAAGCATGACAGGAAGTCGCACGACTTCCTGTTCTTTATTGATCGCAGGCTGGACTACAAGGTGGCCTTTAAAGTACCTTCCAATTCTATGTCTTGTGCTTTGGGGGCGGGGGGGCGGGGAAGAATCCTATTGCTGCCGAGCCACCGTTACACCTAAGTCTTACATTTCTCCGTCGTTTTGGATGGGTCATTTTCACTTCCCTCCAAGGATGTCCTGAAAAAGGAATCTGGAGGTCGAGCAGCGGGTGCTATCCTTACTGTAAATCTATAGCGGAAGCCGGGTCAAGAGTAGTACGACAAACGAGGGGAAGCGGAGAGTGCGGTGCCTTGCTTTCGTGTGTTTCTTTGAGCGCCATTTTACGGGGTTTCTTCCTTATCTCCTCAGGAAGTGAGAACTGCCCCTCACGAACAAGGGGGAAAGGCAGGGAGTGGAGCAACTATGGCCAGGAAAAGGCATAATCCAGTACATAAGCAAGAAGGCGAGAAGAGCTCAAGGCTCCGCTCCGGAAAAAAGGCCTTCGCTCGTGTGGAAACCGCTTCGTTGCCCGGTTCCAAGTTCGCCTCCCTTCAGCCACGGCCATCGGCCACCCCGACCCCCCACCCCAGTTACCGTAAAGGAAATCGAAGGCCCGGTTGGGGGCCATGGCTCTGCGGTACCGGGCCCCAGAATGGGCCACCGGCCGCGTCACGGACACCGAGCGATTCATGCCGGCCCCGCCGCCGCGACCACCTCCGCCGGCCTCTAGGGCCGAGGAGGACGCCGTTCCCTAGCAACGCCGGAGCCCCGCCCCCAGCGGGCGCGGCCTCGTCCTGCACGCCAGAGACGCTAGACTTAGAAAGAGTAAACCAGACTAAGGCCTTGCCGAGCAACTCACTTCCGGGCTGCTTTGGCATGCTTTGCTTATGGGGAAAAGGGAGAGCAGTGGGAAACGGCGCTTGTGGGGCTGGTTGGCTAGCAGCTGATGAGGTGGACGCGTGTTACCCCCTCGAGATGTTTGGGTTTTCTATGGATGATTTTGCATGGGCAGTCAAACCCAATAGTTCCAGACAGTGCGAGGGGTTGTATTATTACTAATTCCTAGTGCAGTATTTCAAAGAGCCTCCGAATTAATTTTGAGGCTGAAACTACATAGTTTATTTTGTTGTGTGACCTAGCGCAGAAAATTGATTGCGATAGTAGTGCTGGTGTGTGATAACGGGTGTACATTTTGGCTGTATGGAGATCTGCACAAAGGGAAGAAGTCCTGATCCACGAAACCTGGCAGATTGTGTGATTGTTTTGGTGGTCTATGAAAGTATCGCCTACTCTTGCATTTGGATTTTGTAATGACTACACGGCTCCCTTTTGTTTCTGCCCAGTTCTCGTATCTTTTCTTGGTTTTTGGTAGATCCAGGATGGAAATTGTCTCTGTTGATTTTCTTGGTTTTGCCGCACTCATTGACCAGCATGAGTCAATGAAAGAGTTTTCTTGATACTGCAGTTCTTCTTTCTAAGGGAAGTGAAGAGCCTGTTCAGACACCTTTAAAAAATTGGCCGCAAAGCTAGTATTGCTCAAGTCGGTTCTCTGGTAATTTATTGGGTAATCGATGGGTGAACAGTGCACTGTTGTACTCTTGAGTTCTGATTTAAACTTATCATTTGTGTTTCAATAAAAATAACTGTACCTCAATCATGTTGAGTATAGAATGGTGAAATTGGAAAGGGCCTATCAGGCCATCGAGTCCAACCCCCTGCTCATTGCAGGAATACAAATATCTCCCAAGTGGCTGCCTAAATTTCTCTTAAATGCCTCCAGTGTTGGAGCACTCACCACTTCTCAAGGTAAATGGTTCCATTGCTGGGCTGCTCTAACAGTTAGGAAGTGTTTTCTGATACAAAATCTGGCTTCCTCTAACTTGAGTCCAGGGATGATCCAGAATAGATCCTGCCCCTCTGAGTGATAACCTTTCAAGTACAGTACGTATTTGAAAAGCGTTATCATATTGCTCTAACTTGAGTCCAGGGATGATCCAGAACAGAACCTGCCCCTCTGAATGATAACCTTTCAAGTATTTGAAAAGTATTATCATATTGCCTCTCTGCCTTCTTTTCTCAAGGCTAAACATGCCCAGTTCTTCCAGCCTTTCCTCGCAGGGCTTGGTTTGCAGTCCTCTCTTTATCCTTATTCCAGTTTGTCTGCATCCCTTTCCTCGCAGGGCTTGGTTTGCAGTCCCCCCATTATCCTTGTTCCAGTTTGTCTGCATCCTTCTTGAAGTTTGGTGTCCAGAACTGGACACAGTACTCAAGACGAAGCCTAACTAGTGCTGAATAAAGGGGAACTAGTACCTCGTGGGATTTCGAGATTATATTTCTGTTAATGCATCTGAAAATAGCATTTGCTGTTTTTGTAGCCACATCACACTATTGACTCCTATTCAGCTTGTGATCTACAACAATTCCAAGATCCTTCTTGCTCGTAGTTTTGCTGAGCCAGGTATCCCCTATCTTGTAATTGTGTATTTGGTTTCTTTTTCCTAGGTGCAGTACTTTGCACTTGTCCCTGTTGAATTTTTCTGTTGTTTTCAACTCAGTGCTCAAGCCTATCTAAATCATTTTTAGTTTTGTTCCTGTTTTCCAGGATGTTGGCTCTTCCACCCAATTTTGTGCCACGCACAAATGTGATTACCATTCCCTGTATCCCCTCATCCAGCTCATTAATAAAAAATGTTGAAGAGCACAGGGCCCAGGACTGAGCCCTGAGTACCCCATTTGTTACCTCCACCCAATGTGAGGAGACATTAATCCTCACCCTTTGAGTAGGATTCTGTAGCCACCTATGTACAGTATCCACCTGACAGTTCTATCCAGCCCACACCTAGTTAGCTTGAATATCATGGGGCACTTTGTCAAAAGCTTTGAAAGTCAAGATAGATGACCACAATGAGTCCCAGTTTTGAGAGGAAAAGGTGGAACAGTAATGAGATAATAAACAGTAGGAAACTTTCCAGTGATTTCTCTAGGGCAGTTTAATTGTCTTAATAATAAAATATTTTTTTCTTGACCCCTGATAAACCAACACCTTCCTTCTTTTTTGTTTCGTTCTATTTTTTATTTTTATTTTGCTTGATATGCTTGTTTTGTATGTGACTGAGACGGAAGAGAAGAAAAAGCACGGTGTGTGTGTCTTATGTTGCCTCTCAAAGATTCCGTATGGCCTATGCGTCGGGAATGTGGGAATCTACTGCTATACTTCTTTTAAAACTGCTTTTAAACTTCGCTCTAGGAACAGCGTGACTTTCCTATGAACTTGGGACTCCCACTGTTTTTGCCCGCGCTGTCGCGGTGATGTGGCGTCATCAGCGGAGGCCACGCGGTCCCCCTCTCGTGGCGAAGCTCCTTTGCCCTGAGCGGAGGGAGGGTAGGGGAGCGTTGGTGTTGCGCAGGCGCGAGCAGAAGCTATGGCGACCTTAGCGGTTTCGGAACCTTCGGCTCTCCAGGCTCCCGCGCAACCCGAGCAGAAGCCTGCCTTGAAACCATGCTGCGCCTGCCCGGAGACGAAGCAGGCGCGGGACGCCTGGTGGGTGAGGCAGGTGGGCGGGCGGAGTTCGTCCTTCCGAACTCCTTCGGAGAGAGTTGGTCGTTGCAAAACAAGGGCGGGGGAGGAAGAAGCCGAGGAGCTCCTGTCTTCCTCATGGGGCCGGGTTTGGATTTAGGACAGAAGCTCCGAAAATGGCGGGGGCGACCTTGGGGAGCCGGCTGGAAGTGAAAATGGTGGTGGTGGTGGCGGCATTCGTTTATTCTCAAGTGGTGTCAAAGCAGTTGCCCGGAGGAGGGGCCCTTTGATTTAAACTTGCGTGCTTGGCTTTTCTATCGAAGTACGTGGCCCTGAGTTGAGGTGCTGCTGAAATTCCGAGTTGCATGTGTTTTGGGGGCCTCCCTCCCGCCCCGAAAATATAAATACTGTAATAAAAATTCCGAAACAGGGGAAAAAGGAAACCGTGCGTTGTCTCCTTCCCAGCCAGCTTCGCCCAAGTTCTTGCGATGCCTCCCTGGCAGCTGACTGATCAGGTCTTGCTTGTGACTGACTGATTTTGAGTTCTCTGTATCTTAACATAACTTGCTAGGTATTTGGATTTATGTGCCTTCTATCCCACCCATGTGTGACCCCCCCCCCCGACTTAACCTGGTGAAGACTTCCAGAAAATTAAAAAAGATTTCATATTTTGGTCATCCTAAGAATGGTATTCGTTACCTTTTGGTTCGGAATAAACAAAAATTGCATTTATGCTGTGCCTTTTAAATTGCAGGTTAAGAATGGGAAGGATAAGGTGTGGAGAAATGTGTTTAGGTTAATATGCCCATATTTACTATTTATTTATATTTATATCCCACCCAACTAGTAGTTAGGCTACTACTATGGGTGGCTAACAAATGGACACATAGTCATAAATGATAATGATAAAAACAATAATACTATATACGTCTATATTTACAGCATTACTAGGTTAGGATTTAGAAAGTTATACTGCAATACGGGTTGAATCCTGCTTGTGTTCATATAAGTTTTGGGGTAATTTGCCATAGCTAATTCATGAGTATCAGGGCATATTTTAATTCTTGAGTTTTGTGCATGAGGAAGAATATGAATGAAAGTTGTCCTGGCACTTCTTCAGTTGGCTGCAGCAAGTTACACAAACCTTATGCAAGCACTAGTAGGTTGCATAAGGTTTGTGTAACCTTATAATAAGGTTCCAAAATTGCAAAATGTTTTAACTCTTTTTAAAGAATTAATTATTTGCTCTCCTATTTACTAAAAGTAATTGAACATTGTACACTGATGTATGATATAGTAATACAGACATTTCCTATCTTGTTGCTTCCACACCACAAAGTACAAGGCAGCAGAATGAACCATGTGTATTTCTCTTCTTTGTGTCCATTATTATAAAAGCAATTTTAAAAGTCACAGGTGCATTGCAAGAAGAGTGGAGTTCTCTCTTCTAATAATGTAGTTGTACTTCTAATTGTTGGAAAAATGAACTAATCATAAGTTAGTTTCAGGTTCTACCATAGGGTAGCTACAAAGTAGAATACAATTGATTCTATTATGAAAAATTCCTTATACAGTTGCACTGGTATTTCACTGGTCTATAGTGGAATGTTATGGAAATGCAGGAGACATGTTTGTAAAGTCATTCCTTTTTCTGCAGGATAATTCCCCCCCCCCCCATGTGCCAGCATCATCATGGCCTCACCTCACTTCTTTGGCAATTGTTTCTATTTGTGAAAAGATGGTGAACATGATGGCATCATTATACAATTTGCAAGCTTTTGTGGATCAGCTGATCCATGAAAGCTTGGAGATTGTATAATGACTTTTTTAGTGGTCTATAAAGGTACTGCCTACTCTTGCATTTGTATTTTGTAATGACGACATGGCTCCCTTTTATTTCAATGCTGACACCATGTCACACATTTGCTTTAATATCTGAGTGATTGGAGCAGGAACTGTATTAATTCGAAAGTTCTGTTTTGCAGCATTATTGAAAAAGGAGAAGAAAATTGTGGTCATCTTATTGAGGCTCACAAGGCATGCATGAGAGCATTGGGTTTTAAGATATGATTCAGAGGAGCCATATTTTCAAATGTTGGGTAAGTAGATAGGTCACTGACCTTCCTCGATGATGCTTACTTGTCCAGATGCTGCTGCTTTAGTACATGTTTCCCCTGAGGGGAATTATGCTTTCCAGAACTCACTCTGTTCTGTGCAAATGTGGATTCATCTGCATTTCTTGATTAACAAGCACCACCACTTCATTTCTAAGAGTTTTCCAGAATATGGCTGTGGAATGTCAAGGAATCTGAAAACCTTGTTCTGTTTTGCTACTGAAGCACATAGATAGGCTTTTCCTCTCTTTCCTTTGCTTCTGCCATAAAAAACATTCCTATCAGTCTGACTTATCATTCTTAAAACTTATATATCAAGAATCATATATGCATTGCTTAAAAAATTTAATATCATAAACATACTTTTCACTCTCTTGAGTCTACTGTATAAACCATGCATTTTATATAATTTATTGTAGCTTCTGGTAGGATTTGATATACTGGACAAAAGCCTGATGTTTAGAGTAGAAACATTGCAGTAGAGTAAACCCACTTGAATCAGTGGAACTTTTGAAGGGGTTTCCACATCAAATTCCCACTAGTTTTTTGGGTCCACTCTAGTGTGGCTTTCCACACTAAGCAATGGGACTTTAATCACTAAATACTGATCTGGGACATGTGTAATGTTTTTGCTAAGAGGGAAATAGCATGTTTTCTAGAAAAAGTACTCATGTGTTGATGCTGCATAAACACAGATTGCCATCAAGTGTTCATTAAATAGGGAATGTCGATAATCCTGGCTATTTGAAGAGTGTGCCCATACGATAACAGCTTCACAGCAGGTTTTCAAACAGGTCTTTGTTTGATGCTTTTGTCTGTGTATACACTTCAAGAATGTAAAATAAGTGTTGGTCATTTAAAGCATTCCTGCATCACTGTTTCAAACGACTACCTCGATGCTTCTAGGTAGCACAGACAAAGTACAGTACTGTATATGAGAACAGTATGCTGTTTTTAGCCCAGCATCTAAACTGGTATTCAGAAATGCCTTTGGGCTTAGAAGAGTTAGCCTATGCTGTGCAAATTTGTCTAATTCCAGTTTAAATTAGTCTAATCCACTGGCCTTCACTTCATGCAGTATTTTGTTCCCTTCATTATATTATCTTATTGCTACTCTATTTTAATAGATGTCTCATAGTATGCATATTACAAGAAAGGGTATAAATCTACTTATGCACTATCTCTGTATCATTTATAAATCAGATTACAGTGATATCTGACTAAACACCATTGGAAAACCTACTCTGAACCAGTGGTGGCTATGAAGTAATGCACTTCTGCTACTATTGTGTCTGCTCAGAGTTGTCCAGCAGAGCTCTTTCATGTGGTCAAAGGCCTATTACATGCTGACCTACAGGAAGAGAATGCAAGTTACACTGGAGCTCGCTGGGAGGAATTTGCAAAACCCTTTCTAGGCAAAATTGCTCAAAGCTGCTCTGCGAGAGGGGAACTGGTTGAGTGGATAGGAGAAGTGTGAATGTCTCCCTGCAGCAGGGTAGGATCCCAGCATGCTGAGACCATTGTTTAAAAAACAAACAAACAAACAAAAAAACACTCCTCGTTGAATCCCATGGTAATGGATTTTCTGGCCAGTCTCTTAATGTTCCATTCTTGGGCAAGGTGCTAAAGCAGACCGTGGCTTCCCAGCTCCAGAGTTCCTCAACGAGACAGATTCTCTAGATCCACTTCAATCTTGCATCATGCCTGGTTCCTTCATAGAAGGCCTATGCCAGAGACTGGAAGGGAGTGTTTCCCTGTTCATTCTGCTGGACCTCTCAGTGGCCATAGTGTCCTTCTGAGCTATCTATCTGTAAAGGGACTTGGAGGCACTGTTTTATGGTGGCTCTGGGCCTTCTTAGAGAGGAGCACTCAGAAGGTGATGCTGTGAGACTCGTGTTTGACACCCTGGCCTGTGGTGTCCCTCAGGTTCTCTTTTGTACTCTGTGCAATTTAACATCTACATGAAACTGCTGGGAGGTGTAGTTGAGAGTTTTGGGATTCGGATTCACCAGTATGTAGATGACACCCAACTCTGTCCTTTCCATCTATATTCGAGGAAACTGTATCAGCTCTAGATCAGCGTCAGGTGTCAGTAATAGACTGGATGAGGGTAAATAAACTGAAACGTAATCCTGACAAGACAAAGGTGCTCCTGATCAGTCAAAAGGCAGATCAAGGAATAGGGATGCAGCCTGTGTTGGATGAGGTTATACTCCCTCGGAAAACACAGGAATGTAGCTTGTGTGTGTTTCTGCATTCGCTCCTGATCCTGGGTGCTCAGGTTTTGATGGTGACCAGGAGTGCCTTTGCACAGTTGAAACTAGTGCACTAGTTGTGTCTGTTCATGAACATACTTGATCTGATCATAGTGACACATGCCTTAGTTAAATCTCAGTGGGATTACTGTAATGGTACATGGGAGGCTGCCTTTGGAAAGTGTTCAGAAACTTCAGTAGGTCCAAAACACTGTAGCCAGATTGTTAACTGGGACTGGTTACAGAGATCACATTACACCCCCCCCCCATTACAGTAGCTTCACTAACTGCTGATGAGTTTCTAAGCAGAAATCAAAATGCTGGCTTTAACCTATAAAACTCTAAATAGCTTGGGTCTAATCTACCAAAACAGTATCTCTCCTTATGAACCTGCCTGGGTGTTAAGATTATCAGGAGAGGCCTTTCTCTCAGTCTTGTCACCCTCACATGTGCATTTGGTGGGGGTACAGGAGAGGGCTTTCTCTCACAGGAGACCACACTGGCCCCATATTTACTGTCCTTAAGCAAGCAAAAACCTTTTTCTTCAATGAGACTGTTCCTTAGTGTCTGGCATTCTAAGATTTTAAAATCAGGGTGTTGCTTTTAATCTGCTTTAATAATGTTTTTATTTAACATTTCTAATAGAATGCTTATTTCATTCTTTTTAATAGGTGAATAATTTATTGTTTTTAGCTTCTTTTTTAATTATGTAGGCTGCCTTGGGTCCTTTTATAAAGAAAGGCAGGTTAAAAATATTTTAAATGAAAAAATAATGAATAATGACAGTGGCAAAGGCACTAAGTGCATGGAGCAGCTACAGCAGCCCCTTTAAACACATTCCCTCCCTTATTCATGTATTTATTTATTTCACTAATTTATATACCATCCCATTAAAATCAAGCAAACAATGGCAAAAAAAGTATCAATGAAAATCATAAAAATAAAAGATAAATTAAATCAACTATCAAAACCATGACAGCTTAGTATTTTCATAATAAAACGGAAAAGGAAAATTCAAGCAAGATTGCTTTCAAAGTCCTCCCTGAAGATTAGCGTCTTCAGCAGCCTCTTGAAGGTGAGAAGGGAGGGGGCCAAAATCTGTGCTGTGTGGATAAGATGATGTCATCTTCCAGCAAGCAGGATATTTAATTTAAAGTGATTGAAAGCTTCTTATCCTCCACCATCCTTCAGGTTCCAAGGCTCCTGAAGGGCTCCCTTTTGTCCTGAAGACATGTTTGAAAGCCTTGGGAAGGGGTGGGTGGGGGAGCCTCTAATAGTTTTTTATTGTGGTGATCTGGCAGCAATTTTGGGATATTCAAGTGCACGCCCCCTTCCTGAGACTCCCAAAAGCTTCTCCTGGGCAAAAGAGAATCCTAGGGAGCCTCAGAACTGGGAAGGGAAGGATAGCAATAAATTTCAATGAAATACTCAGTCACTGGATGATGAAATGAAATCATCAAGTGCATGTGATGTAAATTATGCCAACTAGATTCTAGCCATTGTACAAAATAAGCATGTTTAATACTTGACATGTTGTGGAGCTCAGCTGAAATTACAGGTAAAAGTTATATGCTTAATCTTCCTAATGTAAGTAGTAAGGAAATGTCATTGTTACAATTAGGATAGATATTTAGCTGAACTGCTTTTTACAAAATCCTTTTTTCTTTTTCCATCTAGGTAATTTGCTGCTGGATGGTTATTTTGGGAATTTTCCTTTCCTGCTTTAATACACTTTGTATTGGAAGATATGAAACATGTTTTATATAAAAAGATGAATGAATTGAGAAATATTTATAATAGATTCTAATATGGAAGAAGAATGTTGCATTACTGTCTTCAGTGGCTGGATCCAGGCTGCGTGTGAATATAAGAGATTCTCCTTCACATATTTTTTCAAGTTTTCATTTGAGACAACAAACTGGCTCCTATGGAATGTTGAGTAGCAGTAGTCATACTTTTCCTGTATGGATGAGAATGAGTGTTATAAATATAGTAAATTAAACAAAGTTGTCTGAATCCAGATATTCCTGTTGGATAAGTCGGAATACATGTGCTTTCTGATCGGGTTTTCTTCCAGTTCATCAAGGTCTGTTATAAAAAGAAGTAAAAATGTTTAACATAGTATCTTGGTGGGACTGCTTGGCTACTTTTGGTAAATGGGCATAATACTTTGTTTCACACACACACACACAAATCATTGGCACTAAGGGTTCTGTAGTTTATCTGTGTGGTTATTGTGGGAAATAGTACTTCTGAAGCAAGCTCAGGAAAATATAAACCAAGATGAGCAAATACCAACTAGGTTAAAGCTGCTCCCACATATTTAAGACCAAGCTCCACTGACCAGTCGAGTAGATATGTGTAGAATTGTATTGTGAAGTTCCCTTTTTTCTGAATATCCTGTAATAATTTTTCTGCTGATGCAGTTGTTTTCACTTGTTTAATTTGTGTTTCATTTTTCTGTTGAAGCTTTCAGTTTTTTATACAGACCTTTCTCAGACACCTCATATTCAAATCCTGGATTGCCCCATACCGGTATAAGTATGTAGTTGAAACTGAAACTCTCTTGGAAAATATCAATATCATTACTTGGATCGTACTTAAAGCTGCCTGATGCTAGTAATGCAACTCACAACACTGTTGGGAAACAGCGTCAGTTAGATGGTATATACAGTACTGAGGAAGTCCTAAATGAATAGTGAGACAAACATCTCTTTGATAACCATCAATAGAGGTTAAGGACAAATGTAGAATATTACTCAGGCTTTTATTTATTTATTTGATTTATGTCTTGTTTTTCTCTCGGGACTGAAACTCAAGACAGCCCACAACAAAAAATAAACATATAACAAGGGAAATTAGATTAAAAGTAGATAAAATGAAAGCAAAGTTTTAGTAGGAAAACACAGCTAAATGACTGTAGTATTAAAGACACTAACACATTTTATTTTTTAAAAAAATTGGAATACTACTCTACCAAATCAAGCAAAAACAGTTTCCATAACCAATCACTTGTTAAATACCTACCTGAATAAAAATATATTTACTGGCAAAGATAACAGCGAGAAGGCTCTGCAGGGAACTCGGCAGGGAATTATACAACCAAGGTATCTGCAAAGCTCTTCTCCAGCACTATATTTCAAATAACTTTTTTTCTGCTATTCAACTATCACATCCGTACACAGTTACAGGAAGTAAAATTGTGTTGCTTGAGTTATCTGAAAGATTCTTCACCAGTGTCACCTTCCTCTTCTGCTCCTGCTGCTCTCTAGGAGTTTGTTTCCCCCACATCACCATTGAAACTATCAATTCTTTTCTGCTGAAATAATTGTTAATCCTGAAGAGGGTGGATACATGTTAGATTGGTGAGTGTGGCCCTTGTTCATCAGGTCCTACTTTGGCTGAGCGGGACGACAGTAGAACAGTACAGACAAACTACAAGGGTACTTTCAACAACGCTATGCCCAGCCTGTACCCTGATTAGATGCTACAATTACCCGTATTTTTCGCGCCATAAGACGCACCGGATGTTAAGACGCACTTAATTTTTAAATACCGAAAATTAAATTAAAATAAAAATATATAAACAGAGCAAGTCCCACACTGGGACTGGCAAAAAAAATCACCAAAAAACCAAGCAACATAGAAACATACCCCCAGCCCAAATCTACCCTCCAAAACCCACCCAGAACATTTTTTAAAAAGTAAAAAGCAGCAACTAATTTTTAAATACCAAAAAATGAAGTAAAAATAAATAAACAGAGCAAGTCCCATGCTGGGGCTGCAAAAAAATCACCAAAACAGAAAGCAACATAGAAACATACCCCCAGCCCAAATCTACCCTCCAAAACCCACCCAGAACATTTTTTAAAAAGTAAAAAGCAGCAACTAATTTTTAAATACCAAAAAATGAAGTAAAAATAAATAAACAGAGCAAGTCCCATGCTGGGGCTGCAAAAAAATCACCAAAACAGAAAGCAACATAGAAACATACCCCCAGCCCAAATCTACCCTCCAAAACCCACCCAGAACATTTTTTAAAAAGTAAAAAGCAGCAACTAATTTTTAAATACCAAAAAATGAAGTAAAAATAAATAAACAGAGCAAGTCCCATGCTGGGGCTGCAAAAAAATCACCAAAACAGAAAGCAACATAGAAACATACCCCCAGCCCAAATCTACCCTCCAAAACCCACCCAGAACATTTTTTAAAAAGTAAAA